TGAATGGTGTTGTATTATAATTATATTAAGTTAAATTATTGAATAATAAATTATTAATTCTTTATAACAAATATGTCATTTCACCCATTTGAGTATTATTTAAGTATTATTATAATTTGTTTAGTGTTTGAAATAATTCTCTAGTTTGTTGTTTATTCATCAAAATTCAGTTTTATTGAAAAATCTTTAAAATTGTTGTTTTGTAATTTAACATAACACACGAAATAAATATTGAAATATATGTTTGAATATTTTCATTTGATTAAGTCATTAATTAGAATGAATGTATAAATACAATAAATTGAATATGAATTGATAATCATTATATTGAATGGTAAAAACAAATAACCATGAATTTCAAAAAGGGTTAAAAAGAAAATGATATTATGAATTAATAACATAAATAATGAATAAACAATATAATCCAATGATGATAAAAATATACAAATAGTACATTGAATAAATCATTGAAATATTATACAATTAAAATGATATAACAAAGATGTTTTATGAAAATATTATTATTTTAATCATTTTATTTATTGTTATTAAATTAAAAATAATAACCATTAGTTATTTTATTTCAATTATTATCTTATTTAATTTTCATAACTTTTAATTCAGTTATTTCTTCTTGATATTCATTGTTGCTATTTCTACTTAATAACATATCATTCACATTCTACTTCATTAAATATGTTATGAATATCACCAACAATGTTGAATCTGTTATTAAAAAATTGTACTGAATCTCCAATACTATTAGTGACTGTTATCAACAATTCATCATTCTCATTATTCCCAAATACAATTTCAATATCATTTGCTCTTTTACTTACTTTTGGAATATATTCTTTCATTCCATTTCTTCTTATAAGGAATAAAGCAGACTCATAACAAACATAAGTCTGTTCATTAAGTGATTTAACAGAATGAAAGAATATACCAAATACATTTGCTTGTTTAGTAACACAAAATATACCAAAATCTTCCTGTCCAAAAAGTTGTTCGTATGTATTTCTTGTTGAATTTTCTATATTACAATATTTGAGATGTGGAAATTTTATACGATAACCTTTTAGAGTATCTAAGAACAATTCAACCACTTTACCACAAAATACATCAACAAACCTTTCATTTGTTTTTGCAACTAAAATACAATCTTTTCTTTTTTCTTTTTTCTTTGTCATTCCATCAGTGTTTGCATTGTAACTAATAGTTAATTCATTTAACTCTTTACAATGTTCTAAATAACTTTCTTTTATTTTGCAAGTCTCACTTTGTGAAATACCTTTTGGATAACAAAGAAGTTGAACCTCTTCTTTGATTTTATTTTGAATTTCTCTTCTTTTGTTTTCAATTTCTGTTATTGTTTGAGTATTTTCTTCAATATGAATATCAGGTACTACAGATATATCTCTTGGTATTTCATCATTTTGTTCTGGAAGATGTTCTGGTTGAGGATTATCAAAGCCAACAAGAAATGATGAAGATGAGTCTGCCATAGTTAATAATTCACAACTGAATATTAAGATATTAATAATGAATAGTGACGTCACTACTTTTTTAAATGACGCTTATATTTATTTGGTTAATTTTTATTTGTGGAAAATGTTATGTTATTTGATTTTAAAAAAAAGAAAAATGCTGAAAATAAGAAATAATTATTTTATTTTATTTTAATCACTGAAATATTATTTCATCTTCTTTTATTTTAAGAATGATGATAAATAATTAATTAAATGAAAATATTGAGAATAATATCATTTGTTTGTTATTTTATTTCATTTTATATTTACAGTATTTTTCTATTGAATAGAACCACTTCTCTTGTTAAATCATAAAAACAACATTATTATTCATCGTTAATTTCATTCAATTGAATCTAATTGGTGTCTCTTCATAATATAACAGTTTTGCAAAGGATTACTTAATGAATAAAATAAATTAGAAAATGGTAAAAATAATCATGAACGAAAGAAGAATGAAAATATTTGTGGTAGAGTCAAGGTTATTAAGATTAGTGTTATTGTTATCAGACTTATCAGAATTATTTATTGGTTTATTCTCTTTTTCTTTCTTTTCTTGTTCTTCTTTCTCTTTTTGCTTTTGTTTTTCTTGTTCTTCTGTATTTTCATTTTTTTTATTTGCACTCTCAGTGTCTGGATTTTTGACTTTGTCATTTTGTGCTTCAGGACTTGTTCCATCTTTATTGTTTGTACCAACCTTACTATCTTTTTTCTCTGATGTTGTTCCTTTACTCTGGTTTGTACTTGCCTTATCTTGTTTTTGATCTGATTCACTTTCTTCTTGAGTTTTTTTCTTATCTTTTTCAGTTTCATCCTCATATTCATTAAGTTCTTGTTGTTGAGTTTGATTTTCTTGATTATTTTCTTTCAGACTTTCTTTCTTTTCTGAGCTTTTACTTCCTTTTTCAGGAATTTCTTCTTTCTTAGATACTTCTTGTTGCTGTTTTGGTTTTTCTTCGTTTTTCTTCCCTGAGCTTTCTTCAGTTGCTCCTTGATTTCCTTCACTTACTTTTCCACTCTGTTGTCCTTTATCTGTTTTACCCAGACTCGTTGATGCTGATTCTTCTTTAGTTATACTTTCTCCAGTCACATAAGTTTCTTCCTTTAAATGTATGTTATATCTAGTGTACATTCTTTCGTTAATATTATTTGTGTGTATTTGAGTATATACAACTTCTTTGTTTATTTCTTCTTTACTGGTAATAGAATCTGTTGCACTAGTAAATATAATAAACAATATAAATATAATCATTGAATAAAAATTCAATTTCAGTTCTTCTCTTAAATATATTCATTTCTATATTTTCATTTATTCGATTTATTTTCAATTCATAATTCAAATCATTACTATTATATAAATATACTTTGTTCATATTTATATTCAATATTATTAAATTTCGTTTATTTTGTTATTATTTCTGTAACGTCAATAAGTGGAGTGTGTTTTCAATAACCTTTTTCTTGTTTTCTTTCTTAAATAAAATAATTTGATTAAATACAAATATTGTTGTAATTAGTTATTAATTAAACTCTATCACAAACAAACTATTATTTATTATCAAATATGTTGAATTGTTATTAAAGTGCAACTATAACAAAACATGATTAAATTAAATATTTATTTTTGTTTATATTACAAATTATATTATATATTGTATTTTTTAACTTGATATTAAACTCTATTAACTTGTTGACATGAATCATTAAACTTTGTTATTTGATATTTCTTTATATTATTTTATTGTTTTAATTCAACTAAATACTAAATAAAATATTTCAATATTTCTTAATCACCTTGTTTTATTATTAAATATAAATTTATCTTACATATAATTTACTAATAATTCGAAATATTAAAATAATATTATTCATATTTAAATAATGAATTATTCAGTTACAATAATTTCTTTCAAATAGAGAATATTGAATGTGTTGTATATTTTATTATTTTAAATTTATGATAATTATTTTATTTATTTTCATATTAGTTACAGAAATATTTAATAATAATTATAGTTTATAAATTGATAATTAAAGTACTAATAAATATGTAAGTTTTTGTATTACTTGTATTATAACCGACATGGTTAAAATTATTATGGTCAATAATTATCATCTATCATTCTTTCACTTATTTTTATTTTCTTTTATTTAATGAAGAATGAATATAATAAATATTTTATATAACTCTTTATATTTTATGTTTCATTATTCTTATTAGATTAATGTTAATATTATCTTTAATTATTCAATTAATATTAAAATGGTTATTTATTGATAGTTTTATTATTTATAAATAAAAAGTATTACCTTGTAACAGATAAACGAAATAATTGGTTAGTATTCACCTCAATAATAAAATGAGTTTATATTATAAATTACTTTCATAAAAATTATTATAACCTTCAGACAAGAAATAAATTATTATGTATTCTGTACTTTTGCTATTATTTTGTTATGAATATTTTTATAAAAGAAAGAAGAAAAATAATTAGACTTAAAATGGATTTGAATCAAAATGATATTACTTGAGATGAAGTTGACGTACCAATGCTTTCTTCATTTTCTTTACTATCTTCCATATTATGTGTTGTACTACTTGAACTAGTATTTATACTATACCTTTTTTCAGAAGACGAAAACTCTTGAGACTTAGTTTCAGTCCTTGTTGAACCAGAATGACCTTTAGTAGAATTTGATTTATCAGTCATTCTTCTTAATATACCATCTAAAACTGTTCCTAATTCTTTAAATGTAGGTCTTTCTGATGGATTGTGTTTCCAAGATTGTTCAATAAGAGTCTTAAAAATGCAATCTTCAGCAACATCAAGTCTTTTTCCTGCTCCTACAAATCTTAATATTGATTCTGAATCAGGGAATTTCATTGGATCATATGGATCTCTTCCTAACCAAATTTCTAACATACAAATAGCAAATGAATATACATCTGATTTTAATGTCATTTGATCTTTTCTACTAATTTCTGGTGCCATATATACAGGTGTACCAATATTTTGTAATTCTATTTTTCCAGATGATTCAATAAATGAACGAGAAGTACCAAAATCAGTAACTTTAGCAGTAATAGGATCATGTGGATTTTTAGAATAAACCAAAACATTATCAGTTTTTAAATCACGATGAAGAATATCATTTTGATGTAAATATTCCATACCACGTGCTATATCTTGACAGAATCTAACTTTTAATAAGTCTGTTAGTGGATTTGTTTTCATGAATTTTCTTAATGATCCTAATGGACAAAATTCGGTTACAAGACATAATGTATCAGGTGTAGTAACGCTTCCAATGAAATTTACAATATATGGACAACGAATACGTTCCATCATTTCTGCTTCTTGACTGAAATTAGGTAATAATTCAGCTAATCCAACTAAATCAGTTTTCATTACTTTAACTGCAACATCAACTCTTCTCCATTCAGCACGATAAACAATACCAAATGTACCACCACCAATAGGTGGATGTTGTAAATGAATTTCTTCATAATCTAATTTAGTAGAAAGAGCAGATTCAACTTGAAGATTTAAATAAACATGGAATTTAGATACTTTAGATTTTACATTTTTATTTTTTGGATTAGATTTATCATTTTCATTTGATTTACTACTTGTAGCTTTAGAAGAAGAATTAGTACTTTTTTGAGGCTGAGAATTTGAGGCACCATTTGTGCTTGATGAATGAGAACGATTATCCATTTCACTGTTTTGACTTGATTGAGAGTTTTGAGCAATTAAATCAGGATTTTCTTTTTTAATATCTTTTAAAATATTTCCAAGTTGACCATATCTTAAAGTAATTGGTATTTTTTCATTTAATAATGTAGTACATTTAGCCATAAAAGTAATATTTAATTCAGCAAAATCACCTGGTCTAATTGTACCAGTAAATGGTTTACACATAATTTCATATTTAGTATAATCACCAGAATGGAATGTAAAATGCATTGGATATTTCCAATTATTAGTTAAAATAATTGTTGTGTCAATAGGCTCATTAATTTCAGGTCTTATATCACCAAAATCAATTGTATTAGAGGAGAATGAAAAATAAGGATTTTGTTGTTTTAAATCAATATATTGAGAGTTTGTTTTATCAAATGGAATGATTGTATTTTCAAAGATGATAAGTTTTTCATCATTAATTTCTTGTTTAATTTGTTTAATAAGATGGTAATAAATAAATAATATTAATAATAATAATAAAATATAAAATATTATATATATTATACTTCCTATTCCCCAAAATAAAAAATTTGTTATTCCTTTGGACATTGAACTACAATCTGCTTTATTTTGTGAATACCATCCTGGCTGACATTCACATTCAATACATCCATCTCCTCCATCACATTCTTCTCCTTCATCCCATTTTCTATTTCCACATGTTGATAACATACAACCATTTCTTGCTTTTGCATATTTCTTTGTTCCATTTACACATACACAATGATCACATCCATATCCTCCATCACATTCTTCAAATTCATCAACTTTTCCATTATCACATGTTGAAACTGCACACTTAAGAATTCCATTAATACTTTTTGGTTCAAATCCATACAGACAATTACAATTAATTGAACATTTACTATCACTATATCCTTCAATAGATAAATCACATTCTTCTCCTTCATCTAATTTTCCATTCCCACATAATGAACATGTTTCATCTTTAAGAACATATCCATCATTACATTCACATTTACCAGTATGAGAAGAACATAATCCATTATTACCACAATTATTAGTACAAACAGTATTTATATCAACTTTGACTTGAGCTGAATATTCTTCATTTACTCCAACAAACAAAAAATACAAATATCCTGTTTGTAATGAAACTACCATCCTGGCTAATTTTGAATTTTCTCCACACCCATCTGTCCTTGAACGAATGCATTTAGTTTTTGTATCATCATCACAATTAATCATTGAGATATCTTCTGAATTTTCATTTAATCCATAATCACTTAATTTAACAGCTAAAAGGTCAAGACTTATATCATATTCTGATGGTGAATTACATGTAGAAATTTGTATATTTTGATCTGCTCCAATTAACTTAAACCAAAGTCCTTTCACAATATCTTTAGAACAAATAGAACGTGAATTAATAGTATATTCTAAATTAAATGTACTTGAATAATTAGAACTAGACAATACATTCCAGTCAATATTATAATAACTTGAAGAACATGCATGAGTAATTTTATTAACATATAATTTAAACTCTGGAATTTGAAATGAAGCAAATTTTGAATGAATAAAGAGATATTGAGTTGAACCAGTTTCTAATAAAGTAACAATTCTAGGAGAATTTACATATTTAGAATGTCCACCATTTTTATAAAGACAAATTAATGAAGAAGAATATCCCAAATTTTCTTGACAATCTTGTTCTATAACCATTGCAAGTTTAGTTCCTATTTCTTGTTTTTGAATTCTTGCAAGTTCAAGTTCCTGATGAGAATATCTTTTATCTACTTCAATAGAAACAAAAGTATTTATCGTTGATGTAAGTTTAAACCAAACACCATATGTATATGGTTTAATTGGATCAACGTATTGTGAACATCTATTTAATTGAAGTCCAACAAGATTAGAAACATCAGGAATAGAAATTAAACCACCATTTTTTATTGCTTCTTCTCCTATTTGAATATTAAAAACATTTTCTTCTCCTTTTTCTTTAAAATATTTCCCTATTATATTACTAAACATTCCACATGTTTGTACTTCATCTTCTTTTATTGGTTTGCATCTTCCTTCTCCAAACCACATATATCCTGATTGACACCCTTGACAATCACTTGTATATCCTTTAGAAATATTACATCGTTCGCATATATCTGGAAGAATACATCCTGAAGAACATGCATCTCCATACATACATTGCATTTGACAATTTCCATTTCCATCGGCAATATATCCAGTATCACAAAGACATTGTGATGTACATCCAATAGACCCATCACATTGTTCATAATATTGATTCCACACACTATCTCCACAAACGGGTATTTGGTTGTAAACTTCTTCAGTAATTCCTCCATATACAAAACAAATCAAAAGAAGGAATAAGATTAGTCTATTATTTATAACCATAAAATAATTAAATAAGATGAAATTATCTAATTTCATGAAATAATAAAAAAAAAACAAACGACGTTCATTTAATATTTACGTCATCTCTCTAACAAATAAATTATTCTCTCTGTAATAACTCTTTCTTTCGGCTTTTCATTTCTCGCAATATAATAAAAAATTTTCAAAAGTTGATGTATTTTTAAAATTCAAAACAAAAAAAATAAAAAAAAAAGTGAAAAATTATATTAATACTATTTGATATGACTCTTTATTATATTTTTATTAATTCAAATTCATTCCTCTTTTTTTTTCTTTTTAATTGGTTAGTTTTTCTTATGTTTCTTTCTTTTAAAAAATACTATTATTAGTATCAATTAATTTAATAAATTCAAAAAATGAACGTAAATGAAAAATAGACGTGGTTGATAATAATAATCATAATCATAAAAACAAATTATTAGAATTAAATATTTGATATGAATTTAAAAAGAGAAAAAAAGAATATAACAAATATCAAAAACAAAAATTTATTATAATCAAGTGTGTTATTCATTAATTAAATTTGAAATAGAAATTTATATTTATTAGATAAAAACTTAAAATGAAATTATTTAAAAAGAAAAAAAATAATGAATAAATAGAACTAATTAATAAGAAACACAAAACTAAAAATTAAAAAAAGATTTAAACAAAGAATAAATGATGGAAATACAATGTATTGAAGAAAGTAAAGGACAAATAATTAGTGAAGGAATGGAAATCAAAAGTTTGTTTAAGGTTATTAAAGAAAGAAAAAAGAAATACTAAAAATGAAAAATAGTACATTATAGTATTCAAAGTAGTTTAACAAAAGAAGAAAATGAAGTTCAATTTGTTATTGGAGAAGGAAGTATATTACCATTTATTGAAAAATTTGTAATTAATAAAAGAATTGGAGAAAAATATCAAATAATAACAAAAGGGAAAGAAATATTTGGAGAAGAAGGATTTGGAGAAAGAATTAAAAGTGAAGAAGAAGTGAAGGTAATAATTAAAATACTAGAAGGAAAAGAAATTAAAAAACCAAAAGAATTTGAAGAAAGTATAAAAGAAATAATAAAAACAAAAGAAAAAGGAAAAGAAAAGATTAATAAAAAAGAATATAAAGAAGCGATAGAATTATATCAAGAATGTGCAGCTGAATTACATAATTTAATAGATAATATAAATTATCAAAAATATAATGAAGAAATTAAAAAACAACTTTCATTAATTCATTCAAATATGGCATTATGTTGGTTGAAATTAGAAAATTGGAATGAAACAAAACAACAATCAGAAGAAGTACTTAAATTTGATCCAACTAATGTTAAAGCATTATATAGAATTGGTGTTGTTTTAAATAAAAAAGAACAATATTCATTAGCTTTAAATTATCTTAAAAAAGCAATGACATTAGCAGAACAAGATGGATTAATAAGAAAAGAATACAATTTTGCTGCAAATAATATTAATAAAACAACAAAAAAATAATAAAGAATTTAAAAAAAAAACTAATTTAATAAAGTGTTATACTTTCTACATATGTTCCATATGAATAAATTCCACATACATTTTTATTTCTTTTTAAATATAAATATCCATTTGATCCCCATGAAGATCCCCAACAATTTTTTAATATCCAATATGGTATTCCATTTATTGTTTTACCATATCCAATTAATAATAACCCAATTCTTGGTGATGATTGACTACATTCTTCTATATTTTCAAATATTCCTTCTCCATCATAATATGGCATTGTTGGTGGCATATCAATATTAACAATTATTGGTGTATTTTTAATCACTTCTATTAGTTCGTCATCATTAAAGACACTTAAATATCTTCTTTTATTTACTTTACCAAAAATTCGAGTTGAATTATATTGGCAAATTCCTTTTTCTGAAGTTTCTGGATAATCTTCTTCTTTCATAAATCCAAACCTTTGTAAATAAATAAAACATGGATTTGTTTTACTTAATTTTTTGCCAAAAAAGTCATCTTGACAATCAATTAATTGTTGCACTGACAATTTTAATGTTTCATTTGTATAAATTCCTTCTTTCTTTAAAAGTATTGCTGCTTCAATACCATCAATTGTTGCTTCAAAATATCTTGTTCCACTTGATTTAATTGGAGTTATAATTCCTGAATTTCTCCAATCAAATTCATCTATTAATTCAACTGTTTTTTTATTTGTTTTTAATCTTTTTGGACGTAATTGTGGTAATGAAAATGTTTCTGAATTAATCATTTGTTCAATTTCTTCTTCAGTAAAAATTGCAAAAGGAGAATCAGTTGAAATACTTAAATATCCTTTATTTTGAAGACGTTCTATCTTTTTTGTTGTTTCTTCAAAAATAGATTTTCTTAATTCAAATTCAATATTCATTTTATTATATTGATATTTTTTAATCCAATCATCAAATGTAAAAGCAAATGAAAGAGTAAATAATAAAATAAACAACATATTTAAGTATTATTTTATTAGTTTTTATTTTATTAGTTTTTATTTTATTTGAAACCCCCAAAAAAAGGTCAATAAATAAGTTAGATTGATTAGATATTTTATCAACAATTTTTCATAATATTGAAGAAATAAAATATTTCAGTTTCTTTCAATATCTTTTATTTCTATTATTAAATTAATTTTTTATTTCTAAACAAAAAAAAATGTCAATTATTAGATATATCCACAATTGGATTTTCTTCATATTGAGAAGTGTTTATTTCATTTTCTTCAATATGCTTTATTTGTGTCATAAATCTCATTTAATTTATTTTTTATTTCTAAACAAGAAAAGAATCAAAAAAAAAAGAAACATTATATTTAAAATAAATTGAAAGAACTAATTTATTTATTTAGAAGAAGTAAACCAAGGAATCACTAATTCAATAAGAGAAGGAATTTTTGAAGTAAAAAATAAATATTGAATTGGTTTTGTTGTTATATTCTTAAATTCAGGAGTATCCATAATAGAACGAAGAATATCAGCATTAGCTCTACTCATATGAGCAAAAGAAAAATGAGTAATACGATCATTAATTGGAGGTAAAATAAAAGGGTCAATTTTATTTTGAATTAAAGAAACAATTTGTTGAGGTTTTGAATTTAAAAATTGTTGAAAAGAAGATTGAATAGTTTCTTCAGACATTCCCCAAATAGTATATAAAGCATTAAAACAAAACATACTTTTAGTAGAAATATTTTTAATAATAATTTCTTGTAATACTTTAGAATTAATTAATTTCATTGGAGAAATTAAATCAAATAATGGAGATGAAATATAAATTGGTTTAATATTATTCTTCTCAAAAATATTTTGATCAATAAAATGAGAATTAAATGGATGAAGAAAAACAAAAGCTTCTTTATGTTGTTTTAATTGAAGTTTTTCACGAGTTTGATTTACTTTTTTAATAAATTGTTCATTAAACCATTTCCAAAGAAATTGTTTAGTAAATTGAAAATCATCACCAATTTCAAAACAGTTATTAGGATAAATCAATGATAATTGTTCTGAAGTAAATTTATCACAACAAGTAATAGTTTGAATTATTTCTCCTCTTGCATTAATACAACCAATAATACAATCATCAAAACTATCACGTGTTCTTTGAACAGGATCAGATGTTTGTGAATAAGTAAATATTTCTGTTTCATTAAGAGATAATGAATTATATTCAATTCCTATTTGATCAATACAATAAATAAGTTCTAAAAATGGTTGAATTTGTAATATATTAAAAATTGAATAATCAAATAATTGAATTGTTTTTTCACATTCTTCTTTCCAAGATTTATCATATTTTAATTTAATTAATTTAACTCTTTGAAGAGTAATTCCATGTTCTTTAAGATCTTTAATAATACTTGATTTTTCAACACCATTTTGTTTTGCAAGTGAATTAACAATATTTCCTCCAATATGATTTCCTTTTGATTTATTTAACATAAATTCTTCAACACCATTTTTAATTTGAATAGAATAATGTGATTTTCTATTCTTTTTTGATGTTTCACTTAGTCTTGATTTTTTTTCAATTTTTTGTTTATTAATAAGTTCTTTCTGTGGTGTTTGTTGTTGTGTTACTTTACTTAAATGTTTTTTTCTTTCATTTGGTTTTTTAAACATTTTTTTAATTTCAGGATATTCTGATTTATTAAAAAATGCAATACTCCAATGTTTAATATCATTTTTAGATTCATTACATCTATCAAAAAATGATTGAACATTCATACGTAAAAAATTAAGTGAAGAGTTAAATATATTAACAGGAAAATGAGAAATCCATTCATTTGCTAATAAATTTAAAGGATGACGAAGATTAAAACCTTCCATAGGAGAAACGATAACTTTAATTTTATTTTCTTTAAGATCATTTAAAACAGGTTTAATATCATTATAATAAAATGTATTAATAACAAAAGCACAAAATCCTTCATAATTGTTTTGTTTTCTAAGTTGATGAATATGAGGAATAAATATTTTTTTTATCCATTCTATTATATCATTTCCATTAAATATTCCTTTTTCTGTTTTAACAAAAA